TTGTATAATTTGGCTTCTTCACTAATATCAAATAAACAAAATCGACTGTTCTATTCCTCTTACCTCCTGTCGCTACACCCTATCAGCAGCAATGCAACATTTTTCAATACTTACATAGGCTCTGACCAGTTATTTTTTATCGTCGCTTTACTATATGCATTGCCTATATGCCGCACCACTACCTCTGCAATGGCCTGAGCTTTATCGGTATTCTCTGCTTACTTTCAAAATACTTAATTTGAGCAGCGAAGCTTAAGTTTCTTTCGATGATGTTCAAATCCGGTTCGTCCTTCCTATTCCTCATTACAGGCATATCACGTAATCACTCATAACGCTTACTTTCCGACTTTTTTAGCTCTGCATTAGTGTTACTTGTGGCGATTGGCAGATCTGGTATATTCCTTCTAATTTATTTGATTAGATTATTTATAGGAAGCCAGTTCAGTGGAACAACCAAGGAGGCATGAGACCGGTTGGTGGAGCGCATCCGATGGCTCAACCTCAGTTTGGTGCTGTGGCCCCACAACAGTGGCCGCCAATGGGTGTTTTTGCACCACAGCCAGGTATACTCCTAAGGGGTTTTTTTTTTTTTCGTGAAGTATCACTTGCTATTAGTAGCGTTTTCTATATTGTCTGAAAATCATGAAACATAAAGTACAAGGGAATAGGTCAAGCGATTACGGAAATTCAGCGGAAAATTTACTGCTCCCTTAAAGTAGTACAGAAATGCCCCTGTATTTTTAACTCTAAAAAAAAATAATAGGGAAAAATAGGCAGATTTCAGCTGTCGTACTGACGAAGTTTAGTTATGGTTCTAAATAGAAATGTATACAACTTAATGGACCGAAACATTCCTGTTTAGAATTATCATTTTTACTGCTATCTTTTCCCGCCCTGTTGTGTTTTAAAATTATCATTATTCCTATATTATTAGAGATTTATTATTTGCTTTGTTACTGAAAGCGATCTGTTCGTGAACTGTAACCCTAGTAGTGTTTATTGCGCTGATACATAGCGGAGCAGTCGTGAATCTCGATACTATATCACAGTGAGAGCATGTTAGATAGAAGAGTTTCTGGATGATCGATTTCGACCGTGTGGTCGGGCAATCTTATGTTTCGGCTGGATGAAATAACTACAATTTTGTTTCAGTAGTTCGATTTCATTGCAGTCACTCTGTTACAGGGATGTACGCTCAGCAGCCGATGATGGGTATTTATGGACAACCTGGCTACAATCCCCAGCTGCAGACAACAGCAGCGCCAGTCTATGGTGTGGCGCCAGGTCAAGCATCGCAGCAAGTTGGACAACCACAGCCAACGCAACCACAGCGTCCATTCATGTGAAGTGCAGCATTCACATTAGATTTATCACTGATTTGACAGTGTTGCTGACGAGAGCACAGAAGAAATTTGCTACAATGCACTGTTCTCAGCCCTACACATCGCATAGTCTTTGTTGCTGAAAAAAATACTGGCATTTTTTTCGGACTGCTTGCTTCTAAATTAATTTTGCTATCATATTACTGCTCTCAAATTGTTTTCTTTCCTAAAACTGATCTCGGAATTGTATTTCTGACACTTAATATTTTCTGAAGTTTTTTTTAAGAAACTTATTTTCTGGTTTTTTTTGAAGAGAAAACGGGTGGAAATTTTTAAGTTGCAGTAATGAGACACAGTGAACATAGCTGTAGCGACGGTTATTACATGGAATTTTCAAGTATATGATATACATATATGTGTGGTTCTTGCACATCTGTCGTGTGTTTACATTCTGGTGGATATCATTCCATTTGAATTATCTTTCCTAATTTCATTGATTTTTTGATAAATTGCATAGTTTGTGAACTGTTCGTAAAGCATGCTTACTGTCTTCTGAAATTCTAGCTCGTCATTCACTGTACCAGCTACATATTTGCAATTCCGAGCTGATTAGTTAAGATTCTGTCTATTATTGGCGGGAAAGCATTAATAATGTCGAAAATGCACTTTTAATGCATTTTAATAAGCCGCAGCTGGTACTGGACCACAGAAGCGTCAGAGAGCTCTGGGATGAAAGCACAAGTGCAACACCATTTGCAAATTTTTGTATCAAATCATTCATAGTCAGTTGTTTAGCTCAATATCGACCGGATTTCAAAGGGCTGATTGTTGGAATGTAATCAGGCTTCAGGCACGATTCGGTTGTTTTGTCGATGTTGTGTATCTTTTCTCAGTTTCGGATTTTATTTATTGCCGCGTGAATTGTCATTCATTTCTCTGTCTGAGAAAAATGTAGTAAATTTTGTTCCCCAATTAAGCGAACTTGTGCTGGGGTTGCATGCACTAAAGCATCTAAATGAAATGGGGATGCTTTGAACGGAAACGAACTGCACCAAATCCCGTCTTTTTCTTTGGGTTTTGGATAGTCTGTAAGGTGTTGAGCGGCGCTGGTACGCGGATAATTGCATGCGGGGAAGTCTAAATGCAAAATTACCCAAGGGGTGAGTGGTTGTGAAATTCAACTTGTGATGTCACCCTCTGTTTTTGAGACGTTACGAAGTTAACAGTTTTTATTCGATTTTACATAAATCGTCAGTTTAGTTAAGGATTCTTTGGCACGCACACAGGACAGATGATTAAGCAGAACAGGTACCTGTATATTTTACATGTGCGCAGACATCTGAAAGTCTTAATTTAGCAAGCTTGCGTATATACAGAGAATACAAAATTTTTTGGTTTGGTGTACATGGATTTAAGAAAATCACAGTAGCACTATTATGCTGTGCAAATTCCTTCAGGTTAAGAAATTTACCATATATCTGAGTTGTCGAGGGCACGCTCGAATCTCATACAGGATTCATCCTCATCTGCTTCGTAAAAATGATTAGCAGAGGCTTGAAGCAGGGCGACATTTGTTGCTTTGATGGCTGAACTGAAGCCATTTTGTGAAAAACTGGAATAAGGATTTTTTTCATCAAGGACCAAATTCTTGTTTTTGCCGAGGAGATCTCATGCATCATTGATAATCCGCAGCCGTCAAGAACCTCGCTAGATATGTTAGAAAAATTCTTGCAAATAAAAATGGTGTACAAACTGGGGGTATAGTTGCTGGCATGTTTCCCATGTAGTTTAAATTGCTTACTAGGATTGCAGCCATTCTAGCGATTAAAGGACGATGTTCACATTAAGGTTTATCTCGCTCGTTTTGGCTTCCTCTTTAATGGTGATTTTTTCCCCCCTCCAAGAGTTCTTTCCGCAATGGCAAAAATGCGTGCTCGCTGTTTTTAGAATGCACGAATAAATCATTCATCCAGACGAGCATCCAATCAACTCTTTTTTAACTCGTAGAAATGATGGCAAAGAAGTGGAACTGGGCAAGATTTATTCCTCGAATGCTTTAGCAGCTGAACTGAAGGCTTTTTGCATCACTGTGAGATCAACTCAAAATTTGCTTGGTATCCTTCCAGTTCATCGCTTTTCAGTACGAATACTTGTAGCTCCCTTAGCTAACATTTCTTGTCGAAATTTCCGAATAGTTCTGGTACCTGTTGCCACGGAATCCTCGCGAAAAGTAGCAAAAGGTAAAGAAGCTACCTACCTATTATCAGCACTCCTGTGTGCCGCTATAAAGCAAGGGCCGGTGGTGTAGTGGTTGCACAGCACTTCGAAAGATCGCGAAGAAATGAAAATGGGGAATTCAGTCTTCTTCCGGTTCATCTCGCTTATTTTTGGATTGAGTGAGCTCACACGCAGTATCTGTTGAGCATAAGTGGATTTGTTCTCTAAACACATCCGAATAAAGCAAACTGATCATACAGTAATACGATTTCACTTGCAGGCACGATGAAACTGTTAGGCTTGACAGCACTGTTGAGTGTTCTTGTGCTACGCTGCCGAGGTGACGGGATACCACTCGTAATGGCCACGTGGGGAGCGGATGGCTTTCAAGCAGCTGCTAGGAAAGGTTAGCTCTTAAAATGTGCTCTACATGTAGTTTAAAATTTAGGAAAATATCATCAAATTGTAATTTAACAACTAAACAGGAATGTTTTGGTTCTTGACGAGCACTACAACTAGTGCTCGTCAATAAGTTGTGATCTCAAATTATATCTTTTTCTTTGTTCAGATAATTTCAAACGTTAATTTTTTTCTGCGAAAAATTCCCGGAATCTGAGGAATTTCAAATGGTTCTGTTTCTTCCATTTTTATGCGTTTTGTGCTGTGTAACAGCAGTACAAAACTCATATTGTCATGGGGTTGTCTGTGTGTGTGTTTGTTTGTGTGTGTATGCGTCCCACACTTTGTCTCGCACTTTCGATTCGGGAACTACAAAAGCTAGGCGGCTGAAATTTTAGCATAGTGTTTTCCCGCTAACGGATAACGCGGCAAATTTGAATTCAGCCTTCCCGTACCCGCGGGTAACACTTACGGCTCCGTAA